CATTTGTTTTGGACAGTAATGGAAAGGAATGGCATTTAGTTTTGCCAAAAGACCAATTGGACAAAGCGTACAAAGATAAGGCCAATCGCACGTTCACCGCAGACTTCAAGGTATGGGTGTATGGGTGTTGTAGGTTTGCAATCATGTAACCAATGGTGTGTTTGTCTCGCATTTAGATTCGGCTTACGTTTACGAAACCCAATCAATCATTGTATTTACGATCTCCCGATCCGTCGCGAACGGACGCCCGACTCACCACAACCGACGCAAACATTACTCATGAAAACGGTTCGACTGATTACGAGTCCGATAACGACACCGACGACGATGAGGACGAGGACTACGATTGGACCGACGATTGATATAATTATATATATATATATTATATAGACATTTGTGACATTTTTGTGAACAGTTTTCAATTGAAATTTGTTTCTATTATTATTTACATTTGATTTTGCGTTTAAAACATATGTGAAAAAAATATTAAGAAAAACTTGGAGAAGAGAATCAAATAAATATAAAACAAAAAACAATTAATAATTGTAATAATAATTAGACACTTGAAACTAAATTGTATGAAATAGGGAGAGAGAGAGGGAGAGAGAGAAAGGGAGGCAACAAAAAGTGGACAAATATTGAGACAATAATAAAATAATTAAATAAATTGATTAGTTTTAAGGTAATAACAGTTGCTTTTGATGCACCACTTGTTCCATCCCTTCATTATCGATATTACCACTAATATAGCGGCTATTATCTCCTCAATGGATGTCTGTTCCGATAGTCGTATCCAAGAAGCGCACCATTACTTAAGTCGACGTTTGGTTTCAATTCATTTATAAAACTTATTTATGACTCAATTGAAGGCGAAGTTTGTTTTTTGAATTGTTTTTCAGTGAATAAACGATTTTTTATAATAATGTTATTGTTTTTTGTTATTTTTAAATACATTTTGTTTGCTTTAGAGATGGCTTTCGATAGAAATTATTTTAACGGTTGAGAGACACGAGACTTAGCGTTGGTTTTGTCTGTTGTTGAATGAATTGTTACGATTGGGGGCACCGAAGCCTCCGCCGCCACTTGCAGGCCCTCCGGGACCTCGGGGTCCGCCGCCCGGATTGAATGGATTCCTGTTTCGCGGATTACCACCAGACGGCCGATCGTTTTGCGGCCGCATTCCCATCGGGTTGTTCATTCGGCCCCCACTTCCGCCACCCATTCCTCCGGGTCGGGGCTCGCGGTTCGGATTCCGCTCGTAACTCATGGATCCCCTCCCAGACTGCGATCGCTTCTCCTCCACATTGAAGCGATGGTTCTCGAAGTATATGGGCTTTGGAGGTAAACATACAGTTAGTGTCAACGCAAACGCAAACTACACGAGAAACAGGCGTACCTTTTGTTTGAGGATCTGCTGAACAATGTCGGGGTTCTCGAAGGTGACGAACCCATAGTTGGGAGTCTTGTTGTTGTTTCCCTGCTTCTGGTTCTGGCGATTGATACGGACGTCCAAAATCTTCCCGAATTTCGTGAAAAAGTTGCGCAAATCGTCGTCGTTTATCATTTGCGGCAGATTTCCGACAAACACCTGATTCTCGTCCG